TTATTAATAAATCTATTGAATATTCACAGGATTTTATTAATAAATTTCGATTCAGTGAATAACGGGTCACATCTCTAATTAATTTAGAACGATAAAAAAAAAAGTAATGTCTAATAACAGTTTGTCAAAAATCCTATCTGTAAATTTAAGTGATGTAATAAGAGGTTCATGTGCATCTTTAACTGAAATTGAATCCTATTTTAAAACTTTTGATCAAAACAATATTTCTGAAGCATTTGATGCTACTAAAAACAAACAAAAAGTTATTACTGCTAATGAATGGTCTGCATTTACTGAAAAGTTTTATAATTTACAAGTAGAATCACAATTAGGCTTTAAAAATTTAATTATATATTTGGGCGAAGAAAGAAAAAAAAACGAACTTATTGGTAAACCAACCGGTGAAAGCTTGGATTTCTTTTACTTAAAAAGTGCAATTAAAAAATACAATGAAAAAAAATACAGTTCAGCTTACGATTTATTTCGACATCTTACTAGTAAAGGAGCAGTAGACAGAACTGGAGAAGAGGCAATTCAAATATTTAGTATTTCTATGTATTATATTGCACTTTGCTATTTAAATAAGAATGATGAGTATGCTGCTTTGGTGTCACTCAATTTCTTGAAAGATGTAATAAATATAGTGATGCATTAAAGGTTTATGGATTATTGGATTCTGAAACTAAGGTTGCAGAAATTAAAAAAGAAGCTTCAATTAAAATTAACGAATTAGAAATTCTAATTAGTAAAAAATCTAAAAAACCAAGAAAGTAGCCAGGTTTATTTTATCCTTTATTCAATATTAGCATTGCAGCATTTGTTACAATCTTTGTTTTATTCAGAAAATTTAAGCTAATAACTAAGATTTACTGAACACATGAAAAAAGTTATTAAACTTTAGCAAATCTCTTTAATCTGAGTGACTCAGCACCATATGTAATCATTTAAGAATAAAATGAATATTAAAGTAGAACGGCTAGCATTATAATAGTGCTCCACTTCACCGCCTTTTATATTTTGGCCAGAAGTAAGCTTTGGTTTTTAGCTGCTACTTCTAGTGATCTAATAGCTATGATTTTATCTTCGATTGATGGCTTTTGTCAGATCCATATCAATTTAAAATAATCAAATATCCAAAAGACTATTTAACCTGAAGAATCTAATTCATAAATTTCTTAATTATAGAGTTCTTGTTTGTAATGTATGAAAGATATTTTATTTTTTTTCATCCTGCATTTAAATCACACCAGAATGGTAAACAATAACAATTGATTGACTTAAAGCATAGTCCATTAAACTTCTTACTTTTTCGTAGAAACATTAAAATCAAGAAAGTTTAACAGTTATTACGGGATAACTTTCTTTGTGCTCTTTAAGAATATTTAGCACTCCTCTACTCAGGTGCTGACCATCATATTCAAATATACGCTGATATTAAAGCTGCAGAATAAATATAAATATATATATTTAATGTGTGAAAAACCGCATATGTTTAAATAAAAAAAAATTCTAGAATAAATTTTTAATCTGCGCACTGCAGATTCCGCTTGACAATTTTAAATACTGAGTATAACCCAGTATTAACTTGAAGTAGAAACCGAGATGGTTTGGAGTAAGTCTAATTTTAGCCCACTAGAAGACACTTATTTTTTATTATTTTATTGTAATTTTATAAAATCTTTTAAATATTCCTTAATTAGTGATTCTAAGAAACCATTTTTTTAATATTAAATTAAATTTTGGTATTTGAAAATTTATTTGTTACCAAAAAATTAATTAATGGTATTTTGATTATCTTAATGAGCAGAACATTCGATTTGGTTATGTGAATAACTAAGATTTGATATGAATAAATAACTACTAAATTTTCTTTTCCTTTTTTTTTTTAAAAAAAAAAACGAAGTAAATCCATTTTTTTTAAACAATTTTGATTTAAAGGTTTGGATTCTTTTAAAATGGAGCAAATTATTTATTTAGATGCTATTTAACTATGTAAATTCCCACAGTATCACTTACTGCGAATGAAAGATTTTGAATATTAAGTTACATAATGGAACATTGGTTGACAGCACTTCCACCATAAGGGTCTTCAGTAACAGAAGCACCAGGTCCAGTGATATCAGAACATTTAGTAATAGAGCTAGAATTTGAGATGATAGTTAGATTCATTTTGTAAAGTTTGTAAGGTTTAGATTATGCTTTTTTTTAAAGTTTTTTTTTTTAAAGGCCTGAGTTATAAATTGCTTATTTTATTTTTTATTTTTTTTTTTAGAAGGAATTGAAGTTTGCTTAATATTTATAAGTTTAATATGGTTTGGAAGCATATAATACAAGGTATTGATAGAAAAAAACTATTATTATAATGATTTAAAAAAGATTTAATTAGAATTTAAAATAGATATATTAATTATAGTTAATTTATTATTTTTAAATTTTAAGTAGAACAATTAAGTAACGTATATACAATTTTTCACTTTGAATAGATTCAATAAAAATTATGTGCATTCGATGAATTTTAACAAAAATTTTTTGATATAGGATTTAAATAAATCTTCCATATTGAGATATTAATTAAAATATTAATTGACCTAATTATTAAAAGAAAAAATACGAAACTCAAAAACAGAGTAATTTGTTGCATTTGCATATTCAAGGTCTGCAGATGATTATAGCAGACTTTAAATATGTTTTTTTAGAATTTAAATTTTAGTTAACTTTAAATTTTTTTAAAAATATTAAATCAATAAAACTTTTTTTGTTACAAGTGGGGTGAGTCTAGAGACTAGAACCAGATTTATTTTTATAAACCGTTTTATAATTTTTTTTTAAATTTACAACCGAATAAAAATCATTAATAATTTTATCTGGATAAATTATAGTTTACTCTAAAATAATTATCCATTAGTTTTAAACTACAGTTTATTTATCATAACTAATAGTTTATAGTTCACACTCTCTACACCTCTACTATTAGATACAAAATTAAAAATGGAGTTGTCTTGGTCTAAATTAATTTTTATTGATTAATATGGCTAAAAATATAATCGATAAGTGATTTTTTAAGTCTTTAAAAATGTTATTATATATGTAGTAACGTCTTTTTTTTTTAGGAATGTAGTTATGAGATATTGCCGTAAATGACTTGCGAAGTAGGGCAAAAGACTGGCTTAGATAACGAAACTTCAATCGATTTTCTATTTTATCATGGGAATTCTTTGGATCGAGATGACAGGAGCTAATGGCATTTGATAAGTTCATTAGATTTTTCGTTATTCAGAATTGCTGGTATAAATTTCCAATCCCTACGCGTACTAAACTCAATTTCTTATGACGAAATTCAAATTGAAATTCTTCAAAAATTCTTATAGTAAACCAGTACATATTCTCTAATATTTTAAGATAAATTTTGATATTAAAAAGACTATTGTTTTTTTTTGTTTCAAGGATTCAAGAATTTAATCATAGGTTAGAAAATTATCATTTGGACAAAGACTGTTTGTAGTTAAATACTCATTTTCTTGGTTCGAGAATTTTAAATTCATTTTAAATATATTACTAATACAAATTATGTTAACATGCGCGTAAAGACGCCAATTATTTGTTTCAGGAGTATTATTACTAATTTATTACCATTCGCAAGAATTTTTGTCCAGAATTTTCTTGTTTTAGAAATTATTAAGTTACATGAAAAGAGCTTAAAACAACAAGATTTATTTAAGTAATGAAGCAATATACAAATATATATAAATAGTGGCAATATTCATTGTGAAAATAAATTTTAAAATATATGTTTAATTAACCTTAGAAATCTTCTTGTATGGAATTCTAAATAAATAAAATTTCTAATTAATTATGCAAAAAGTTATTTATTTAGAATTCTATAAAAGTTTTAAATTTTTAGTAAGCAAAAATTATTACGCGTTAACGGTCCTTTGTCTGAATGGTTAGTTTAAAATCCTTTTGAATTATAAATATTATTTAAAGCAAGAGGGGCATTGTCTAACAAGGACAATTCTGAACAGAATTTTTATATTATTACAGTATAAAATTAATTATTATATATTAATTTCAATATAAATAGAGACTCTGTTCGATGCTGAACAATAAAAATTTTTGAATATTACAAAATTATTGAAATGTTAGTTTTACCAGTTTTACCAACAGAAATTTTAACCGAAATAATTAAATGTCTCCAAAAAGATCATAGAAGCTTGTTTTCATGCCTTCTTGTCAATTGCCAATATTGTAGAATCACTGTACCAATACTATGGAGTGAACCTAATTTTAAGAATAGAAAGCTTATTCATATGTGTCTTTCTAAATTTAATGCTGATGAAAGAGCACTATTGCCTTCCGAAATTACACTACCAATTAATGAACAACCATTAACATTTGAGTATTTAAGATATATTGAAAGAATTTGCGCTCATGATTTAACTGACGGAGTTAAGATTTGGCTTAAAAATGAGATAATATTTAATTATTACACTATTAAAACTGAAATTGCAAATTCTTTAATTGAAACTGAAATTGCAAATTCTTTAATTAAAATGTTCTTACGAACAATTAAACATTTAAAAGGATTTATAAATTATGATCTACTTAATACTGATAGCAAAGAAGAAGTTAAAAAAGTTCTTTTTGAAAATAGGACTTTGACTTCACTAGATTTTCACTTTACTATTAATTTTGATCCTAAGTTTTGGAAAGGGTTTGCAAATTCTCTTTGCAAAAATAATTCATTAACTTCCTTAATCCTTTCATCTAATAAACTTGGTTCTGAGGGTGAGAAGGCGTTAGTGAGTGCTCTACAAAAGAATAATACTTTAAAATCTTTGAATCTTCGAAATAATCAACTTAGTCTTATTGGAATAAAGAATCTGACACTTGCTCTTTGTAAAAATAACTCTTTAACTTTTTTGAATCTTTCATCTAATAAACTTGGTTTTGAAGGTTGGAAAGCATTAGCAAATACTCTTTGCAATAACCCCATTTTGATTTCTTTAAACCTAAGAAATTGTGAACTTGGTTCTAGGGGAGGGAAAGAATTTGCAAAAGCTCTTTGCAAAAACAACACTTTAGCTTCTTTAAACCTTTCATCAAATAAACTTGGTTTCGAGGGAATAAAAGAATTAGCAAATGCTCTTTGTAAAAACAATTCTTTAACTTATTTGAATCTTTCATTTAATCAATTGGGTTCTGAGGAAGTGCAAGTATTAGCAAAAGCTCTTTGCTCAAACAGCACTTTAATCTCTTTGGATGCTTTTGATGATCAATATAATGTTGAGCATGATAACTTATTAAAAAGTGCTCTTTCTAAAAATCGCAAAAACATATCAGAGTGTGCTTCTTTCAAAAGTTCCAAAAACACATCAAAAGTATGATCTTTCCAAAAATCGCAAAAAAAGTGCTCCTTCCAATAATCACAAAAACACATTAGAGTCAAAATTGAAAATTTTAACACTTTCACATAAAAAACAAACTCTTCACAAAAATACATTAAATCTTGAAGTTAAAAAAATGAATTTAAATGCCGCTGCTTTTAAAAATGAAGTTATTTTAGCAAATTTGGAGAATAGAAAGATACTGATTTCCCTAGATAAAGAGCTGTTTGGAGACAGCATTTATGATTTAATTTTGTTATTTTTTATTATTAATTTTTTAATAATTACTGGATCATTTACATTTATATTTTTTACGGTTCTGTTTTATCCTTTACTCGCTTAAGAAATTATAACTTTTTTGAATCTTTCATCTAATAATCTTGGTTTTGAAGGTGGGAAAGCATTAGCAAATACTCTTTGCAATAACTCCACTTTGGTTTCTTTAAAATTTAGAAATGGTGAACTTGGTTCCAAGGGAGGGAAAGAATTTGCAAAAGCTCTTTGCAAAAACAGCACTGAAACATGAAGAGATTATTTTAGCAATTTTGAAGAAAAGAAGGATACTGATTTCCCAAGATAAAGAGGTGTTTAGAGACAACATTAATGATTTATTTTTGTTATTTTTTATTATTAATTTTTTAATAATTACTGGATCACTTACATTTATATTTTTTGCGGTTCTGCTTTATCCTTTACTTATTTAAGAAATTAAATAGCATTATAAATTAAATTAATTAAATTATTTAAAATAAATACTTACATATTTTGATTTGATTTTAACAAAAATGATATTTTTTTCCAATAAATAAACATCAAATATAATTTAAGTTTAAAAAAAATTTAAATTCACAAGTATTGCATAAACTGATCAAGATTATTCATAAATACCCAAAATTTAAATCTAGCCATGTACAAATAGAAATTGGCATAAATTGAAAAGTTTGATTTGAGAACCAATAAATGGTTTGGTACAAAAAGATAGTTTCTTGAGAAAACATAGTAATTTTATACAGCGAATTTTTTTATTATACATGGCACACAAACAGAAATTGCAAGAATATTTTGTTCAAATTGTCCTTGTTTCGAGAGTAGTTTAAATGATTGCGCGAAAAGACTTTCTTTTAGATTAAGTATTGAGCTTTTAGTACACTTAGCCAATTAAATTCTAATTTGGTGATAAATAATTCTATTTTCGGTGACAATTAAAATTAGAAAAAATTTATATTAGTTGTCACCGAAATTAAGAAATAGAATTATTGTTTTAAAATAAAAACTTTGATTGTTAAAATTTGATAAAACGCGTGATTACGAACTGTATTTAGCTTTCCAGTTGTCATCATATTATTATCTAATTTTGAAAAACTGCGCTCAAAAATTATTTACAAATAAACTGTTTTTTTTTTTTACAGATTAGATATTTTGGCCAGGTTTGGTTAAATCCAGCCAGAATTTAGATAAATTCGACACGGATTAGAATTGAAATTTCGGCACAGAAATAATTTCAGTCGGATTATTTCGGCTGAAATTTAGGAATTTTGGCTATAACACTATGCAAATTAAATCTTTGCGTTATCGTGATTTGGTTTGATGTTAATGCTAGTAAAAATTGTCACATTATTCGCAGCTTCCAGATTAAAATTGTGACTGAAATTATCTCTGAACCCGGTCGAAATTATCCTTGACTGAAATTATTCCTAAAATACCCATAATCAGCTTAGTATTGATTGCCGAGAAGAAATTTGGGATTATTTTATTTTTCTCTCCTCCAAAGTTATATCTATCATAACGACTTTAAACTCTGAAAATTAAATATGACTTCTTGGTCTCGTTGGTTATTAAATCATGTGACGCTTTGAACAAAGTTTATAATCGAAGATATCGAAACTCCCCTCATTGTTTAAGTAATGATACAATATTATTTAAATCTAATTTCGGTGACAAATAATCCTATTTTAGGTGACAATTAAATTAAACAGTATTTGTCACCGAAATTAAGATATAGAATGCTTCTTGTATTGTTTAAAATAAAAAATTTGAATTGTTAAAATTGTGTTAAAATATCGTGTTACGAAAGATCTGCAGTTATTAATGCTTTATGTTTACTTTGCCAACCCTATTTTCTTTCTACAAATAAAGGCGATCAAATTTTGGGACCAGAGATCTGCCTATAAAAATTTTTTATGAAATTTTAATGCTATAAATTTATTTTAGTATACTTCATGTTTTCACAAAAAATTTTTAAAATTTGTCAATTGAAATTGAATGAATTCATTAAAGAATCAACTTTTGCCCAATTAGGAATGTATCAGCTGCCTGGTACGTAGATTCCTAATTAGGACGCCATATTTTTTCTTCAAAAAATTTTTTTGACTTTCAAAATTTGTCAATTAAAATTGAATGAATTCATTTAAGAATCAACTTTGTGCCTAATTAGGAATTCATGTTTCACAATCTAGCCAAAGAATTTTGCGTCGCAAATCTGCTAACAGAATTTTTTTAGCTCCCAAATTCGTAAATTGAATTTAATGAATTCATTTTAGAATCAACTTTGTTCTAATTAGGACTGCATGTTTCACAATCTAACTAAACAATTCTATTCCATGAACAAAATGTGACAAGACGTGACGTGGGTTAAAAGCGGTAACCTTCTGACCGGTTCAATATTACTCATTTTGTCATGAAATAAAATTGTACGACTAACATGCAGCCCTAATTAGGAACTGGAGAAGTGAATTATAGACATCAGATCACATTTCTATTCGCATTATGTATTTAATTTCGGTAATAATTCATATTCGGTTATAAATAAATTAATTAAAATTTATTTTCAAAAGTCATTTGAAATTTATTAATAATTCTCTAAGTTTTTTAAATAGAAATTTTAAATTCAAAAATAAATAAAAAATAATGTTCGAATTTTAAAAATTGATGCAGTCTAATAAATTATATAAAATTATTCTAGATACATCTTTGTTACGGAATAAATGTAATGATCGTTATCACAACGATTTTTCAAAAATTGTGCAAATTCAAAAACTTCCACGAAATCAATTCTTTGTGGTAGATGAATACAATCATCTTCTTTAAAAGTTTCGTATCCACAAACCGTACAGTACAATTGAATCTGTTCTTTATCATATTCAGAGCATGTTTCTTCAACTAATTTTTGGTTAATTAATATATATAAAAGCGCCTTATTGCGCGTGCCACAAATATTAATTTATACCCATTAGATTCAATTTTTACGCGTAATTTTATTTATTTGTTTAACAACATTACTTAATATAAATTCGGCATAGACTCTTTGCATATAAGGGTTCTTGAAACAAGGACAATCTTAAATAAAATAATTATTTTTGCTGAGTAACTTGTAATACTTAATTGATATGATAAACACGAAAGTCCTTATTACGCGTCATTAAATTGAATATGAAGTCAACGAAGATTATTTACTTTGTTTTAAGCGCGAGTTAACGTAATTTGTATTAATAATGTATTTTCCAATAAATACTATAAAACAAATTGCTTGTTACGCAAATTCTATTTTCTTTTATTCGAATGGTTAATCTTAACTTTTGTCTGAATGGCTAACTGGGTGTGTAGCCTTGTAGTTTTTACAAGTTAAACTTTATTTATGTGTACGAAGGGATTCGGTAATTACGCATGCTTCATTAGAAGGATAGATTTTATTTATGAAAGGGCTGTTATTTACATGTATAAGCCGAATGGTTAACTAGATTGATAAGCATGAAACAAATAAAATGTTAATTGTGCGTTAACGTAATTTGTATTAGTAATGAGTATTTTCAAAATATGAACCAACAAAAGTCTTTTAAACTAGTTTAAATATTAAAAACTGTAGTCACGCCGAAATAATAAGACTGTAAAGTCAGCTTAAGGCTATATTATTAATATGTCAAATTTATACAAGCTACCTAGACAAAGACCTGGTTATTTTTGCTGAATAACTTGTAAAAGAGTCTAATTACGTGTCACTAATTATTGTCTTATTCTACATAAAAATTTTTTAAATTATACTAACGTTAATTGAGAATTGAGACTAGCCTAAGTACCATAATATATTTAAAGTAAAATATTTATTGTCGTGGCTGATGCTGGAAATTTTAATTATTTTAATATGAAATTTTTAAAAAATTTTAGGACCTTTTGTTAGGGGGTTTTTTTTAGGGTTAGGTTAAGGTTTAGGGTTAGTTTTAATAATAAAAGAGTATAAGTGGATTTTGGTAGGACTTATTTTTTTAAATCAGCTTATCTGATTTCCAGCTTCAGCCATTTCCAGCTTCAGCCGCGACATTTATTAATAAAGAATGAATCGAATTTTCTTGTTAAAAATAGCATGTCAGACTACTATTAATAAATTTCAAAATGACATGGTTAATTTCTGTACTATTAATCAGAGTTCTTACGTGAAAATTGTGTTTGCATACGCGTCATGATATTGCATTATATGCGAAGGATTTGACTCGATTAGTATGATTTATGTAATGATATTTATGTAGAATAAGATGTTTAATGACGCGTCAATTCTTTGCTTCAACTATATTAATATCGATAAATCAAACACTCGGAAATGTGCAGAAGTTTTGTTCAAAATTGACCTTGTTTAATATCTGGTGAAATTTAAAATTGGACTTTTTAATTTAAAAAGAAGTACAATTTAAAGTTTTGCGCTTTTGTTTAATTTACGTTATCTTTGCCGCAGTTATTCGTATTAATAATAAGTTTTCTTGTAAAGTCTATATATATAACATGTAAGAAGATATTTGGTTCTTAAACATTTAAATGATTCTTGAAACAAGGACAATTTTGAACCAAATACCTTGAGCATTTCTGAGTGGTAATTTATTCATATACTATACCTTTTCAATATAAATTTAACTTGGAATTCTATATGCGAGGGTAAGTTTGTATGTGAAAGTTATTTTCACAATGATCATTGCTGAAACAAAGAATTGAGGCTTACACGTAACTATTTATATATAGTCTTTTGACCGAACAGTTATTCGAAATGGTTTATGGGAATTCTGGACAATTTCTACGTGTGCTACATTTAAAAGATATAAATTCAAAGCTCTTTTTCCATCAATTCGAATCGATTTAACAATTTAAAAATATCATAATGTCAACCATTAAACGTAATTACAAAATATATTGTGAAGATAATGAAAGCGACCTTTCATCAAAAAATAAAACTTCATCCAAAAAATTCAAAACACAAAAAACACAAAAACCTCAACCAAAGTTTAGCACGAATACAGGAATTATAGTTATATCTGACGACGAAAATAAACTGCCGTCACTTAAAACAAAATCCACCGGATCCAATAATTCAACACAAAAAATTATAGATATCTCTGATTCAGACGAAGATGAACTGCCATCTCTCGAAACCGTGTTAAAAAACATAACCAAATTCGCCGAATACAAAAAAATGAACAATATTGAGTTTATCGAGATACAGGATGATACCACGGCTGCAAATAATAATAAAGACGATTTCACTTATACCATCAACGATGTTCGATTTCTCAGAATTAGTAAAAAGACAATACGATCTAAATTAAAATGCATGGTGAGAAGACTCAAATCCAAAAAGGCTATCAGATCTATCGCTGAAATTTGTAAACATAAAGAAAGATACAAGTACTACAACGATTTCAAATCCCTACCCAAACGGCATCTCCGAAATCCTTTAGCCATAGATCGATTAGTTCCTGGATATTATGGAATGAAAGGGTACACGCTAATGTACGAGCATTTGATGAAAAACACCGCAGTGTGGGAACCAAACCTAGGAACAGATATAAATAAACAGGAATTCATGCGAGAGGTTATTATTCCCGAATTGGGTGTTATATTCATTATGACAGATCTCAAGGTTAATGATTACGACACCGCTGTAATAATCACGCGTAAGAGCGTTGAATACGGTAACCAAAATTTTTTTGGAGACAGCGATGATAATTGTTTTTGGTGAAAAGATATTTTATCATTTGAAATAAAATTAAGAAGTCTTTGTTATTTTGAGACCGGAACAAATATTTTAATAAAATCTGTATATATTATTAGAATAACATAATTTTTTATATAACATAGTTTGTGTCTCAAATGAATAACTCGTAATTTATTGCGAATGATCCTAATCTATAAATTATTAATGAAAAAAAATTAAAAAATTTCTTAAATTGCCAAATGGCCAAATATTCAAGTCTTCGTATTCCGAAATATTCTAAACTTTTCCATTTGTTATTTTAACCCAGTTTATTTTCCGACGGCCTCTAGCTGCCGTCGGAGAGAACAACAAAGAAATTGGTACTTACACGGGTTTACGTAATTGTATTAGTAATGTATTTCGAATAAATAGCTATTAGAACAATCTTGTCGTGCACGTAAGCGGTCTTTTATTTTTTATCCGATTTCTCGAATATTTTGCTTGAAAATTCTATATAGTGCAAATTCAAAAACTTCCACGAAATCAATTCTTCATGGCTTCAAAAGTTTTTTGCCCACAAACCATGCAATACAATTGGTTCGGTTCTTTATCATATTTGAAACATTTTCTTCAAATAATTTTTTGGAATATCAATTTAGAATATGTCCTATTTCCAAGAACCTTATCAATAAATCTCACAATCCATCTTTTATCTGAATCTGTCAAGGATTAAACTGGTTTAATTTATTTTCACTCTTGGTCTTTAGATATAAGATAAAGGTTTATTAATTCAGCATTATTACAATAATTCGATTGACATAATTATATGCTTTTTAAACAAATTGTAAAAAATAATAATAATTTAATATTTGAGCAATATATGGTGGTTAAAGTTGGTTTTTTTAAGTTAAATTTTAAACATTTCGTCATTATATTTATTGAATGTTAAAGAAATTTTCGTTTTTTTGAATCTTCTTTAACTTATTGTAGTATTAAGTTAGATCTTTTTATAAAATCAATTGAAAATTCAATACAATAAAAAATGTGGACTGGTCCATTATTTTAATTCCCTCATTAGTAGAATACTGGTTTCATCGCATTTAGTATAAATAATGAAGGGATAGATAAACATTTTCTGGGTATTGCTAAGAACGAAAATCATCAACATTTTTTCTTGAAATAAAATTTGAACAATAAATAATAAAAGTAATCCTTCCGTCACCAAAAATAATGTAATTATCATTTAAACAATTCACAATATTTCTTTGAAGAGCTCTTTAGAAATTTGTTCAGTAAAACTTTGAATTTCATGCCAATCAATTCTGTCATTGGATGTATTAACGTGTAATATATAAATGCCATTATTCTTACAGTATTCGGCATCTTTTGTTGAACCTTTATCGCCTGCGATAAACATGATGTGGTTATAATTAGGTAATTGTGGATCTTCATTATTTTTAGAAGTAAGGTACGTGCAATCATGAACTTTTATTTTTTCGCCTGGTTTCATTACGGATCCTATGAATGAGATATCTCCAATCTCATCTAAATTTCTTATAAGTGTACCAAATAGATATTGACGTGTTTCATTATTTTCATCAATATTAGAACGAACAAAAGAACCATGATTCTGTAAGAATTGGATGATTCTGTAGGTTGTATTGAAGGTTGTCATGGGTCTTTCAATATAATCCCAAGAATCAAGATTTTCTTCAATATCATAGCCTTCTCCAATAAAGAAACTTTCAAAAAGTTCTTTGGGTTTTATGATTTGCATATTCAATTTATTTTATTTATGAATGCTGGAGTTTTTTTTGAGTTCCTCAGAGATTTTAGGATGTAGTTTATATATTTTTTTTATTTGCTGCGTAGAATATTATGGTTGGCAAAGAAATATTATTGAAAAAATGACACTTATTAAGTAACTATCCAAATATAGCTAGTACGTGGAGATTATGCTGTGATAGTGATTCCAATTTGGATCATTTAGAAAATGTCCGCGTAATATTTGATTAATAATATTTATTAAAAGAAAATTTATTTATATATATTTAAATATTTTCATATTTAAATATTTATGTTTAGTAATCCTAAACTTTCAAATAAGTCATACGGACAAAAGAATCCTATTTTCTCAATAAAGAACTTCTTTTTAATAATTTGTATTATTAATCAAAAATATTACATGGAAACACGCAGAATTCGATAATTTAAGACTCATTTACCTTGTTTCATATAATTGCGCGTAAATTTTAATTTATTCACAAAAATAATGTTCAAGTTGTTACTCAGTCAAAGGCTTATTTCTTTGTATCAATGGGCTATTTAATTCTCTTTTCAGAAGTATTTCGTAATGACTCTTAATTAATGACATTTGATAAGTAAATTAAATACTATTCTAAAAAATAGAAAAGAAAAATCTATTTGCAACAGCCTGTTACACGCTTATCTGTAACAGCCTAAAGTTAAGGTTAGTATTAGGTTAAGGTTGGGGTTAAGGTTAGGTTAGGTTAAAGTATTAGTTTAAAGTTAGGTTTAAAGTTAGGATTACAAAATAATATCAAAATTAATACAAAATCGCGAGAGGAGCATTTTTTGTTAGTAACACGACAGGGGTTACCCTAGTAAAATTTTGAGTTATAAATAAGGCTGTTATAGATAAGCGTGCAAGTTTTTTAACCTTTATAATATATAAATGTATTTTTTTTTGATGTCTAAACGTGTTACTTTTTAATCTGTATCATATTTATTCTCTTAGTGTCTTATATAAAAATTATAACTACTTTTGCTGATTTCCGGAAGAAATTTAACCTTTTTATACGAGGAAAATTAGTTTTAGCGATTCTAAATATCTTTGATTAATGCATAGTAACTAGGGTGTGTGGCACAGCAGTCACGGGCAGTGTTGTACACGGACATTGTCCCGCCGATTTTTCAGGGACGCGGACAGTCCGGGACGGGACGTCCGGGACATGTCCGCAATAATGTCCCAATATGATAGACATGTCCGCCGGGTAAAACCAATCAAATTGCGGATTATACGAATTTTATTGGTAGATGATCACGTGTTGAGTCGCAAAATGTCCGGGACAAAAAAAATTCTGGTGGACATGTCCCGGACGTCCCGTCCCGGACTGTCCGCCGTCCGTGTCCGTGTCCCATGACAACACTGGTCACGGGCATGCCACCATGGCATGCCAATAGTGGCATGCCTAGTGGCATGCCCAAAATCAAAAAGTATATAGGCATGCCACTTATATTGGAAGAGTAATAATTGAATAGAAGGTTTCGAAAAGTTCCAAAAAGAAAATAAAGTTCGGTAAGAATTTTGTGTAACCATCCGAAGTACAACTCGAACCAGACCAATCCAATATATAATTACGTTAAGGCATGCCAATGGCATGCCTATAATATGGCATGGGCATGAATTTTGGCTAATGGCATGCCGTATGGCATGCAAATTTTTTAGCCTTGCCACACACCCTAATAGTAACATTCACAAAATATGACTCATGTTTCATAACTAATTTTGGTGCAGGATAGACTTATTAGTTTAGAACCGAATGAAGAATATAGTTCAGTATAAATGTATAAGGTAGTACATATATACAGCGATAATGTTCAAAGAGCCACTGTCGTCATGTCGTAAAATTTTTCAAAAAATAAATGGGCCTTTATATGTAATTATTTTCACTTTGGGCCCTTATTTATAATTATTTTTATTTTTCGGACCCTTATATCTAAAATCCAATCTTTTTCCCAAAAAACTCTTATTTTAATAGCTTCAATCTCCTCTATAGTGAATCTCATACCTACTACTGCAAACACTTGTTTTGCCCTCCCTTCATAATAGCTTCAGCAAGTTTAAATCAAACTCTGTATTTTATTCCCTTCCATTCAAAATTTTTGGCTTGAAAACTCTTAGTTTCACTAACTGAGCCATCACCTTCTGCAAACTCATTTGTATTACTGATTACGTTGGCCAAAGCTGACTTGCCACTGTCTACTTTACCGATAATTAATATATTTTCTATATTATCTTCTTGGGTTTCAATTTCATATTTACATTGATTGACTTCTTGATTTTCCTTAATTATCTCTGCCCTATTAACTTCATTGGTTCTATAAAAACCTACTAAGTCAGAAAACCTTTTACCCGTCATTATCTTGTTTTCACCTTCATCTTCATAATTGATTAATCTAATGGCATACAAACGAGCAATTTTATTGATAATTATCACATATTTTTTTCTTCATTGGTAGAAAAATAAATTATGTTTTTGATTTTGGCACGAAAATTAATTTTATCGATAATTTTTCTTGTCTTTTTCTGACGGCTTGAATTTCTTCATCACGAACTTTCTAATATGTAATGTACAATTACAATTCAAATAAATATTCAACACGGTTAATAATAATCAATAAATAAGTTTGTTAAATACGAATTTCAATGGATTTATAAATTGTAAAACCAATGTTACATTTATGATAGTTGCTCTGTGTATTTATTTATTATTTATCATCAGTTTCCCAAAAATTAAAAGTTTAAATTATCACTATAGTTACGAAAAAAAATCTCATGAAGACAAAGAAAGACAAGAATATTATACGTAAAAAGTTAATATTCGTGACGATGTTGAAACCCTATTTATTTTTCTATCAATGAAAAAAAATGTGTGATAGTTATCAATAAAGTAGCTCATTTATACGCTATTAGGTTAATTGTTTTTAACAAAAGATAAAACAAAAACATTAATACAATGCTGCATGTAATGAAGAACAAAAAAAAAGCAAAATTCGACTCTGAACGTGTATGGCGTGTTATGATCAATAACTATTAGTGTCATTTCTCATTTTAATTTTTTTTTCTAATGCAACTACTACTTCATGACTAAAATTATTATAATTAAATGGCAGAAAGATTAAAGTATTGTTCATTTGAAGGGATTTAACCAATTCTTTTCCCACATTGTTCCCAAGGTTATCACATGAAAGATCTAAAAATGTCAAACTATCATTTTTGCTAAGAGCTTTTGCTATTGCAAGTCCACCGCCAAACCCAAATCGATTAAATGAAAGATTTATGGTAATTGACGTATTGTTATGGCAAAGAGCATTTGCTAACACTTTTTCTACATTAGAGCTAAGCCAATTAAATTTAAGATTCAAATAAGTCAGCGTAGAGTTCTTGCAAAGTGCATCTGCTAACGCTTTTCCTCCTTTCGATCCAAGATTATTACCTGCAAGATTCAAATAAGTCAACGTGGAGTTCTCGCAAAGCGCATCTGCTAACACTTTTCCTACGTCAGGGCCAAAATATAAAGAATTAATGTATAAATATTTAAGCTTCACACTTAGTCGTAGGAACATTGAAATCAGAAGTTGCACTAAAAAATAGTTATCTTCTTTTTGATATTCTTTTTGGCATACTCGAAAAAAATGGAACACTCCACATTTCAATTTACGAATATCAACAGATGCAATAAAGCTTGGGCATTTTAATAACGAATCTTGTAGGGGTCCTTGTGGCGTAATTTTAGAAAATAACTGTTTTTTCATCATCGTTTAGAAATGAAAGAAATATTTTGATGACTCTTCTATCTTCAAATTTAGGATTCTCCATAATATCGGTATAATAATTTTACACAATTTGCGGTTTACAAGCAAGGGTTAAAATAAGGCTTTGTAATCATCATTCGTTAGGTATTCAAATATTTCTTCGAGAACCTCGTTCGGTAATTGGTTGAACATCAGAGAATGTCCCTAATAACAAAGAATTGAAAAAAAACGTACAACAAAAAAGAATGATATCGAATTAAACGGCAATTTTTTTATATGATTGTGCTGTTACACAAACAAATATCATTTTTGATAAACAAATAGATTTGATTTAACCACCCAATGGAACCGTATATTAGGTAGCTGCGCAGCACGCGATGCCGCGCAGGACCAGTACGATCAGCATCGTGTGAAATTTGAAATATTAGATGCATATGTGTCCGTCATTCTTTGATTTATGTCAATAAATTAACACGTGTTATTTCTAGAGATGTTAAATTGCTCAAAGTGCTCCAAAACTGCTTAACCCAATTTTTTTGTTAGTTTTATGATTATTTTTTTGTAAAATTAAATAAAATTGTTTATAATAATTTTAAGAATATGTTTATTAAAAAAAATTAATAATTTGGTTTAATTTGAAGATATTAATATTTTAATGCCTCAAAAGCACTGCTCATAAGCATAATTGCTCGTAAAATGCTTAAAGACAATTTCTCACTATAAATATTATTTTTAATTTTTTTTTAGTGATTTGATTAATTTTTAATATTATTTTTAATCAATTATGTATTGAAGAAATTATTTTGTTTATTGTTTAACATGTTATCTTAAAAATTTGTTCGGGTTACACGAAGCATTTTAACACCTCTAGTTATTTCTCGATCGAGAAATGATTCAGGTCGATTCGTAATGCAGATTTATTGATCTAGGATTATTGATAGTAATGATTATGTATTTTAAAACGGCGTAAAGATAATTTAAGTGGTTCTTTCAATCGTGTGTTATTCTATTCGTTATGTTTAATTGGCCTATTGTTGTTGTAATGTATTGCTTTTTTTTTCAACACCCGCAAGAATGTAGTTTAATGATTTGTGTGGCCTTTGACTAATACTAGGAATTTTCAATAAAAAGAAGTTAAATGGATGGAAGTAAACAAAATGTTCAAATTATGGACGATTAATACCTTCTAAATTCTTCGTATCGGCATGTGTCGGTTTGATAAAGAATTGCACATGCTTAGATAGGGATGCAAGGTCGTTATATTGAGAAATAATTACATAACACATTAACCATTTACACTTCATAACAAAACTGCATATTTGGATCCCCACAGTAAAAGAGGGGGCTGGGCCAAATGAAGAATTGGATCGATTAAAATAAAATTATTATAAAATTAAAAAATCTAGTTTTTTTTGGCCAATCCCCTCCTTTTGATGTGGGAAATTTTATATGTTGTAGGAACGTAATTTAAGTAAATTTTGAATTTATGTTTAAAATGACTTTTACTAAAATGCACCTATGGTGTTTTACATCTATGAACACATTATTTAAAAAACTAGGTGCGAGATGTTCGAAATAAAAATATTCTACGTCCCAAAAATCTTTTACAAATCTTCACAAACCCTAATTATAATCCTAAATATTATCCCTAACCTTAACGTGAAAAGTTGGCATTAAAAATTTATATACAAACTTATAAAAATCTAGAAAACATCTAAAAATCATAAGAAAAACATATGATAGGTGCAAAACCACCATAGGTGAGTTTTATAATAAATGTTTAGGACTAGGGTGCAGAATTATATAAAATCTCCCCAATACTAAAGGGTTAATGTCCGTTACGGTCAATTCGTATCTTACTATTTTTTTTAGTAAGATACGAATTGTTTTTTGAATGCTATATGGGAACACGCGAAGCGGGTTCCCATGTACATAATTTACCCTGCGAAGCAAGGTAATTAAATATTGTAATTTAATGATATGTTAATTAAACATATCAAATTAAATTTTTTTTTTAGGATTCCGCATAAGGGTCCTAATAAAAAAATATAAATAAACATAGGATCCCGTAATTGGGGTCCTGTGTTTAATTTAAAAAAATTAACGTTAACGTCAATGTTAACATTAACGTTAACGTTAACGTTAACGTTAACATTAACGTTAATGTTAATTTTAAATTAACATTAACGTTAATGTTAACATTAACATTAACGTTAACGTTAACGTTAATGTTAATGTTAACATTAACGTTAACATAAATTAATGTTAACATTAGTTAACATTAATTTACGTTAACGTTAATGTTAACATTAACATTAATGTTAATGTTAACATTGATGTTAACGTTAACGTTAATGTTAATGTTAACATTGATGTTAATATTAACGTTAACGTTAACATTAATGTTAACATTGATGTTAACATTACAGCTGTTTTCATAAATTCTGGGACATCTGACAAAAAATTGACCAACCGAATATTTGCCGATTCGATAAGTTTGTAATTTCGGCGATGTCATTGCTGAATCAAAACTTATCGAATCAGCAACTATTCGGTCGGTCAATTTTTTTGCCAGATGTCCCAGAATTTATGAAAACAGCTGTAATTAAATAGTGATATTCTTAGGCCAGTTGTAGCGAAATATAATTTATGGTTTTTTTTTTCGTAATTATTAATAATGTACTTAGACCCAGTGATAATCATATCACGTGAAATCACACAATTACGTACTAATCATGTGATGTGATGAATACGAATTTATCACTGAGTCCCCTGATCGGGAAGATTAAACCTAAGCTGCCGCGCGGTTAATTCTCGATTTTGATTGGCCAACAGCGACGATCAACAATTTAGGCCAAAATTACACAAAATTTTACTAATGAAATCGCGGCCGCCCATTAAGTGAAAAATGTTCCTGGGCTAATTTTACCATTGCGCGAGCCTACTTCTCTAAAAATTTCCATTTTAGGAATGAAAAAGTTAAAAAGTTATCCGGCCAAAATTATGTAATGTGGGCCCAATCCGCAAAAAATTTGTAGGGCAGCTAGGTTCAATATCGGGAAGATTGAAGATCAAGGAACCCAGTAATATATTCGTGCTCATCACATTGCATAATTAATTATTCGGCCTAACTTAAGGTTAGTGTTAGGGTCAGGTGATAGTATAGTTTAGGCCAGTTTTGTTAGTGCAGGTAAACAAATGATGTTATTGCATAATTTTTATGTAATGTGATAATCACTGGGTTCCTTGATCTTCATGTGTTCCTAGGTTCTGTAATAGAACATTTCGCTGGTAAAATTTAATAAATTCGTCATGTTAAATAGCATAATTTAATATCATTAAAACTGCCATTCAAACTGCTATTCAATACTATCATATGACTTCATGAATATTGATATTCGTGAAGTTATGTGATAGTGTTGAATGGCAGTTTAAATGGCAGTTTATTAAATTTTACCAGTGTTTGATAGTTACTAATACAACTTTAAAAAAAATGCTGAACAAGATGGATACATAGTACAGATGTACCACTCATCATACTAGTCTATAATTATTTATTTATATGTTCATAGCTCTAGTCTTATATTATTTTGATCTTACCTTAAGCGTATATTCAATTTTATGCCAATAATGGCAAGTTTTTTTTTAAATTAACAATAAACTACTTTAGTCAAATACTATTAATCAATAGAAGCAGATAAGTTCAAGTTGCAAAAAATGTAAATAATACATAGCTATAGCATAATTATTATAAAGCATTTCTATTTGCACTAAACATACATTTTATTAACTGTTATCAAACATTAAACCTATAATGCATTTGATACTTTTCGGTATATTCATATAGAGTTTGCCGTTCTCCAACAGTATCTATTCAGCATTGTTTGAAATCTTTATTTGTTAATTAAAAGTGTAAGAAAATTTATTAAGCAACACAAACAAATGCTTATCAAGCTGAATAATTGTCAAGATATTTTTAATTTAAATTTTTTAAAAATTTGAGCATTTATCAAATAGAAGTGTGTTTCAAACTTTGATTGAAGGTATCTCAATACCCATCTAATCAGATTTGATATATTTTTTTTATTCAAATTCTACTAATGTTCACAAGTAAAAAAAAAAAAAAAAAAAGTTCATTGAATTTGGCCAAGTGGGTGTCAAGATATTTTCAATTTAAATTTTTGTAAAAATTTGGGTGTTTATCAAATAGAAGTGCATTTCAAACTTTGATCAAAGGTATCTCGATACCCACCTAATCAGATTTGATAAATTTTTTTTATTTAAACTCTACTAATATTTACAAGTAAAAAAAAAAGGTTATTAGATTTGGCCAAGTAGGTTTCGAGATATCTTCAATCAAAATTTGAAAAGACCCAGATTCCCTTGTGGTGTGTAATGTATGAAATTTGCCAATCACAGTAATTTGAAAAGCACTGTAATATTAAAGCCTTCAACACAGATTAACCCGACTAGACAGAATATCTCGGAATTGAACTAGTTGATAATTAAATCAATTAGTTGATAAATTTTTTTAAATCGATTAGTTGGAAAGTTGTCAACTAGTTGATTTTCAACTAACGACTCAGATCACTAGTATACATGTCAGAGGAATACAGTAGATATATAGTATTAATATATTACAATTCAAGATAAAACTTTCGGATTGTTAAATCACACAGGTGGTGTGTTGTCAAATTAAGAAATCTAGTTTTTGTAATAATTACTTAAATTTTACTTTCACGATACATCCCATTATAGCGAACCCCTTTCTAAATGTAAACTTTTAAATGTAGCAACTCTCTAAGTGTAAATTGGAACCTTAGATCAAAGATATGTGATCTCTATATGCATTATAAAATTTATCAATTAATTTTAAATTCACCCAATAATTCAGGCATCTTGATTTGACCATTTTGTATCTTTTCTATCATTTTTATAAGATCATAATTAATTTCTTGAGATACTACTGAATCATGATTATAATTTGGATGGGATCGTACAAAATTTCTTATCCATGTCGCTGTAGTCTGAATTTTGACTATTATAATATAGTTGTATATTTTATAAATAAAATTGTAAAGCTATTAACAAAAAAAAAATAAATTCAAGTAAAAGAAATGGATTAAATTACCACTAGCATGCATGTCAACAAACTCAAGATAATTTTCCAACTGATATCTTGTTTCAACATCAATATTTCCTGATTCAAGATATTGAAGCATCACCTTAATTAACTCAGAAAATTTATTATCCTAGGTATAATGAATGCATGTATGCTAATGTTAATACAAATATCAATTTACAATCAATATAAAGTGCATAATACTTACTTTATTACCATTTATAATTTCATTAATGGTCATTTTTTCAAATTCATCTTTATATACAGAGTTTAAATAATTAGAATAATTAGTAAAGTCAACTACTTTTACCATAGATAAGCACAAAGATTGAATGTCCATTCGCGGTAGTTTATGGTAATATGATTTTGAATATATATAGTTATTGGATAGGAAGCAACTATGTAATAATGAGGATGATTACCTCCAATTCCATCACTATTTGCAAATACACTCTTTCTGAACCAAAATTTTTCAGTATTTAATGCATCTCTCTTACATGCAATCATTATATTTTCATCCACCTAGTAAATAACTATTATTATTAACATTGCTTTAAATGTTAATATATGTTAAATAACAAACCTTTGATAATGGTATATAAAAATTCAGGTCATAACTAAGAATAATGCGAGTTAAAAGTATTATGAAAATTACGAATACAGCATTTTCAAAATCAGTTATCTGAACTTCCATGCAGCGAAATTCTACCCGCCATCCAATATTCGAATTTGGTGGAGGAGGTTTGAAACGTACTGATTGCCAGTTTGTTGAATTAAGGTTCTATAAATGGTTTATTAATAAAGTGCAATCACAATATATATATACAGTATTATTTATATCTATTATTTATACAACCTCAAAGTGTTCTGTGGACGATTCGTTATCTTGATATAACGATTCCTCAAAAACAAAAAGAGGATCACGGATAAATAAATAAGATATATGACGTGCCAAAAGATCATCAACTCCTAAAATATAATAAAAGTGTATGAATAGGCATAATCATTATCCATTTTTATATTACAATACGTAGAAATTATTATTAGTACAGACGTACCATTATCTGTTAGTTTTTTATAAATATTTGGATCATACGCAGAATTTAGATCATTATACTCTGACTTTAGAGCATTATCTGTCGATATATAATAAGCTATCGAATCATAGCGTGACTTATTTATTAAAAATCGATCATTCTTAAGAGGCTATGATGAAAGACAAGCATATGTTACAGTTAGTGTTGGATTAAATTTTGAAGCAGATTTTACTGAATATTAATATAGAAATATGAAAAATCTAACCTCTAAACTCCGTTCTTCTTTTGTACGATCATCAGCACATTCTGCAAGCACCATCCATCTACAATCTATGTCAGACAAATAGCCTCGCCAAATTGGTGTGGCAGCAGTTAACGCCAACTATATATGTATATATATAAATATTAGTCAATATACGTATGTAACTTTGTAATAGTAAACGTACAATACCATAATAGGACAAAAAATTGCTAATTGATCATAAAATTTCCTAGCTTCTCTAATATTACAAGCTTGAATAGTTGTTTGCAGACAACAGCAGCCACCCCCAAAAACTGCCGAATCCATATATATATGATCTGGTAAAGCTTCTTCACAGTAAATAAATGAATTCTGACTCTTTTTGTCATGAAAAATGGGAACATTGAGAGCGGCCTTCGATCCTCGACGACCTTCAATACCAGCATTCACTGCCCTTTTTCGTTTAACAAATTATATATCACTATATACTGTAGAAATACGTGAACAAATAAATTTATGAATTATGTACCGAAATTTAGCATGTGGATTCAGGGCTTCATCCGGCACAAATAAACTTCTTAACTCAGGCCCAAATGGTTCATAATGAGGCTCTAAGAATTGACTTGAGCAACCGAGACGTGGGAAGTTGACTAAAGTAACTAAACTTTCATTTGGGTTTAAATATTTGGATGCAATTTCTCTTCTAAGTTTCATATTTTGTTCAACCAGAGTCAAGCTTTTTAAAGAACTTCCGTAAGGAATACCGGGTACTCCTAATTAACCATTCATAAATGATTCACTAAAATAACTAAATTACTCAAATAATAATTTAAACCAAATAAGTCAAATCGATCAACACCTTCGATCATATACGCTCCAAATTCGGGATGCCATAATGCATCAACTACTTCACTATAAAATATAATTTAATTGATAATACTGGATGATTTGATTCACTAAATATTGTTATTAATAAACACACCCTTTTCTCAATGCTTCCTCTACTTCTTTTTGCAATTCTTGTAAAATATCTTGAGCTCTTAATGATAATTTTACGTTCTTGTTTCCATCATCATACGCAATTACCATATATTCAATCTAAGTAAAAAAATTGTATATCATTATTCTCATTATACTATATACTCAATTTATAAAAATTTAAATGAATCACCTCGTCACCCCACAATAAACTATCATTTTCCCTATCTTTTGCTTTATTATAAATTGATAAAAATTGGTTGATTCCTTGATTACGAATATGGTCAGCATATTGTTTTGTTTGTTCCCAAGGAAGTAGTTTACCCTTAGATAATAATCCCATTATCTTCAGATTCAAATGTACTAAGAAAGTTGAAAGTTAAATTTTGTATAAATATATTTATTTGTGATGGTGGTACGTACGTACGTACGTACGTAGAAAATGGACGCAATGAAAATGAAAATGGAAAATGGAAGATGGAACATGTTCATCTACAGAATATCAATAATGATAACGAGTTTTTTTTAAACATATTTGCTTCGGGTTAATTTATAATGACTATCCAATTAAAATTCTCAAATCAATTTACATAAATGAATTTAAAATAAGATCTGGATCGTTTTTCACTTATGACACGAAAGTAGTTGTATTAATAAAATTTTGCAGTATAACTCTTCAAATTTTGCAATTTTTATAATTTATTATAAGATTTATAACATAAGGTAGCTGCGCGACGTCATCGCGCAAAACCAGGAACGCAAGAATATTGAAGCTTTAAACAATAAAATGTTTTAACCGTTTACTAATACTAACTAATTATTTACATCTTAGCCTATAAGTGAATAGCACCACATTAATAAATTCAAATAGTGAGTCATATGAATTCATTAATTATATTAGCAGTTTAATTGGTCATGTGCCAACACTACGTATAGCATTACATAATATAATCAATCAAGCATAAAATTTTAATTATATATTGTGTTTATTCAATTTTTTATAAATTTGTTTAGAATTTTTTAGCGTTTAATCGTTTAATCGTGTCTAGAATAGTGTTGGCAGGCGAACCTATTTTTGGAAAATGGCGAAAGACGAAACTAAACCCGGCAAAAGACAAAACCAGGCGAATCTCTGGCGAAATGACAAAACTCTGGTGAAACGGCAAAACTCTGGCGAAACCTCTGGTAAAATTGAAACCACTTGGGGAAAGTCAAAATTCGGCGAAGATTAAGCCATGTTAGTGAGTCAAAATATTTTGCATTTGGCCATTAAGCACAGCACGTGGCTTATTTAAAATGTATAAAAGCAATAAACAAAATGATAACCTTTTGTTTGTATTCAAGCACTATTAAAGAAAACTAGATTTCCGGCTTTTGGAACTTCGAAGTAAATAAATTCAGCCTTGAAAATTCAAAGCCTAAAATCTTGTTTTTTTTTTTTTTTTTAGTAACACTTATCTATGAATTAATATTTTTATTTATATAAAATAAACCTATCTAAATATTCAAATAAATTTATTGTTAGAGTGTTGAGATTTTTTCTTTTTAATATTTCATCGTTAAAAACTACTGTACGTATGTAAGTAGTGGCTGTTATAAGTTCAAATCAAATACCATCGCATTTATGTGAAAAATATAACCAATCAAAGAACCGTATTTGTTCACATCATCTCACTCCTCAGATAACCAACCATACACTTCGTTGCACTCCGTTCCTGGTATAATAGATTTTTCAAAGATCTTTATTTTTGTTGATTTCCCTTCTTTTTTGCAGCACTTTGCCTAAATGATCTCCCAATTTTTGTTATTAAAGTTATACGTATACATATCACAAAGATCTATACAATTACATATATATTAGGCCAGACCAAGTTGATTCCCTGTTTTACATTACCCCCTCTCCCATCCGGGGGGGGGGGGGAGGGGTGGTTTACATAGTACAGTCGTCCTCCTCTACAGTCACCTCCTATAAAGTCACGCCCTCTTTATAAGCACCATTTTTTGAAAAATTATTGGCAATTTTTTGAAAAAATTATTGGCAATTTATTTATTAAAAAAAACTTTATATGATCACAATACTATTAAAATTTTATAATCACATCTTTTTTATATAAAACAAACCGCGTGATTATAGAGGAGGACGATTGTAAAATTTAAAAAAATTTTTTTTTCAAAAAAATATTTTTCCGAATTGTTCCGTGATTATTTAAAAATTTTCCGAAATAGCCCGAAGTCCTATATCTATTTATCTAAATTTTTTTACTATGAGGGAGAGGGGGGGAACTGTGGGGAGGGGTAATGTAAAACAAAGAATCTAATTGGTCTGACCTTACGAAGATCATTAAATTTCTAATTCTATCAATGTTACCATAGGTGAAATATAGCTAAGGTTGCAAAATCATCAAACCTTTGAACACGATGTGGAAATTAAATAAGCTAATAATGCAGGACAAATTTTTTGTTTATATATCATTATGAGATAAATTAATGCAATATAATTAGGGAATTGTTGTTGCCACCTCCATTTTTGTTAATCCTTATATTCAGTTAGCATAAACATTGCAATGAATTATAATGCAATATAATAATTATAGGGAACTGTTATTGACACCCCTCATTTTTGTTAATGCCGCCCTCTATATAACTCTAACCGGTCTAAAATCTTAAAAATTCTACAAATAGTATTTAGAAAAGTACATAAATTCATACTTTTCTAAATACTATTTGTAGAATTTTTAAGATTTTAGACCGGTTAGAGTTATATAGAGGGCGGCATGGATGTTCTATAGAATAGGTGGGCAAACTCCGCCAACTCCACAACTCTGATATCATTAGCGAAGCTTATTTCTTATATTGATCACCTATTCTATAGAACATCTGAATATAATGGTATTGTTGAACTGGCAGGCACTATGACATTAGACATAGCTGCCGCACCAATTTGTCTTGGATGATTCTCGATTTTGATTGGCTAACGGCTGTGATCTACAAAATTTTGGCCC